ATAAACACAGATAAAAGTTATGGATGTGCCTGTTTTTAAAGAAAGAAGGGTAGGAAAAAGGGCATTGACAGAAAAGTAAATTCCAATTCAATCAGGTGAGCTACTGCTGGGTTTTTAATAACATTCCGTTTCTCCTGTCTTGCTGCAAAAAGAGTCTATGGTGATTCCACCTAAATACTGATATCAATCATTGATGTATACTTTGCTTTAGATTTTGTTAAACAGGCTAAATATATAGTTTCCTTACAAAATTAATAATTCCTCAAAATGTTTTAGTATTGCACTTTAGTCTGTCATCTGAATAGAGCCTGTACTAGTTTATTTTATAATTTTGTGACAACACCATTAATTCAGCCTAAATACTTCTTATGAAATAACCATAGTGTTCGGAATCCTACATTTTATGCTTGAGAAAAAAAAAATAAATCATTGTATTATGATATTTGGAACTCACTTATTTGGAGCTCAATTACAAGAGTTCAGTTTGGTCTTCTGACACAAAGTTATCCCATTTAGTCTTTCAGGGTATTGGCTTTCTTTTAAAAGAGACATAATAATTCAAAAATGAAAATAAAAAGCAGATAAAGAATCATATGTTAAATCATGTCCATGACTGCCATACTCTGAATTTATTATTCCAAAGTAAGTGAAACTAAGTTCATATGATGCCTTATGAGTTTTAAACTCTTTAGACTCTTTGAGAAACACTGAGACTAGCATGCAAATGTGGATTTCACTACCTGCCTCTTTTGCATGCATTTCCTTTTACACTTTTCAAGTACTGTTGATACAGTTAATTATCGGCTTACTGGAATACAGAGCTTGCTTGTAAGGAAATAACTGTTACACTTTTCATTTGTCTTACTGTGATTAAAAACACTGTACATGACCTTGCTTTCAGTTATATTAACTATCTTGCAATTGAGGGACAAATTCAGCTCCCAGTCCGTATACATCCTCACTATCCATACATCTTCATTAACTGCAAGATTAGTCAAAGCAGAATTTGACTGAGTCAGAGATATGTTTTTGGCAGATTAAGTTTGCCAAAATAATAGTCCAAATGCTGCTCACAGTTGCAAACAGTCTGTATATTTTCACTTAGAGCTTATATTCCTTTTATAATCATGAACTCCCACCATCCTCTTACAGCTGATACCTCTCTGTAGCTAGTGTCTCACTAGTAGGCATGGATGACTTTTCAAATAACGTTTCTTACTGGCTGGCAACTGTTAAAATGCTGTTAAAAACAAAACAAAACAAACAAACAAACAAAAACAGTAGAAGATTCTGGTAGATCATAATACATCCATCTGGTGAGAGCAGCAGAGTACAAGTCTACACAAAAAGCTTGTGTTGGTGAAGATGTGCAACTGGAACCATAGTTTCTTCTTTTCTTCTCTTCTAAAGTATTCATGATAGTTCCATAAGGTTGATAAGGCATGAGAGAGCTGTACACTATTGTTTCTGTAGGGGTTCATGGCAGCAGGAGGAGGTAGATTTTAACGTGAAGAAAAATCTAAGCTGCTATATCACGTGACTGAGAATGCATGAGGGTAAAGTGAATTTCAGATGAGTATTTGACGAATAAAATTAGAATTCGGAAATTTTTCAGTAACTCTTATCAATAAGTGTTATCAGTGTCCTTCCCTATGTCTTTTACAGTTGTCCACAGCATTCCTGTATAAGATATTGCTGTGCAACGCTACTCTGTGTGGAACAGAAGTGTTATGACAAGAAGTCAGGAGATGTATTTTTTTATGCTCAGCAAATGTTTTAGGTAGTGGGAAGGCAGCAAAGAGGGACACCCAATTCCAGCCTGGATCGCCCAGTCATCCTATGTAAGTTCTGCTGTGCAGGACAGTACCCTGGTTACACCTGACTAAAGTATCCACTTATTATCCTATCTATAAAAGAGATTTTCTTAAGAAACTCACCCGTTTTATACAAAGTAAAAAATAAATAACCAGTACCTATTTGCTAGGGATAAACTACAGCCTCTTCAGGAGTCTTTTAGAAGTTAGCCAACATACGTGTTTCCACTTCTCCACTTCCACTTCCAGAGATTCACATCTCTGCTCCAACAAGGAGCTGCAGATGCCTATATATAGAAAATCAGTACGATCGCCTTTATACAATCCAGATTATTTTGAAACAGAATACGGGCTTCTCTTCTGCCCACAAGATTAAGGAAATAAGGCACTGCAAAGTGTTTTTTTCTTTATTATATCCTTCTATTGTTTAGGTTGGATAAGAGAAGGCTCTGAGGAGACCTAATTGTGGCTTTCCAGTACTCGAAGGGAGCTTACAAGCAGCTGGGGGAGTGACTTTTTAGACAGTCTGAAAGTGATAGAACAAGGGGGAATGGCTTCAAGCTATAAGAGGTGAGATTTAGATGTTAGGAAGAAACTTTTACTTAGAGCATGGTGAGGCGCTTGCTGGCATAGGATGCCCAGGGAGGTTGTGGATGCCCCATTTCTGGAGGAATTCAAGGTTAGGTTGAATGGAATCCTGGGCAACCTGATCTGGTTGCTGGCAACCCTGCCCAACGCAGGAGGCTGGAGCTAAATGATCTTCAAAGTTTCCTCCAACCTAAGCCATTCTATGATTTTGCAATTTCACGATTCTATGATTAAGTAATTGAAGATGTACATTTGTTACAGAAACTGAATAGAGTGAATGGGATAGCATATCTCTATGTAAATAGCTGTCTCAAAAGGTATTTTGTTTGTCCACTACTTGTTTCTGCCAGTTTATTATGAGATTTTCACTCAGTGGTAAATATCCACAACTCTGTTTAGTACAAAGGAGAAAAGATATATATATTATATTTGTTTTTTGTTTTGTTTTGTTTTTTTGTTTTTTTTTTTTGTTGTTGTCTTTTTCTGAGAGCCCTTCATGAATGCTGTGAAAAGATAACAATGTACCCATGAAACAAAAGGCTTCTACAGAGTAGGAATGGAAGAAAATGTCTTTCCACTTGCATAGTCAAATGAATTGCAGATGTCAGGCAAATCAGTAAATCTTTTGGGTATCAAGAAAAGTAAGGATCCCAGCCACTTACTCTGAGACTCTTTATGTAAAAGGTAGCACAATAATTATGTAGGTGGATTATGATCTATAGGCAAGTGCATTGACTATTAACATCCAAAAGTGACATTTCCTTTTCAGACAAATTAAATGCGAGTTGCAAAGACACATTTTTCAGACAACTTGCTTTCACAAAAGCTAAATCAGGCATGCTCTTATAATTGTGCTGCATGCATTTTCTAGCTCAGACTCCAGTTCTGTTGCCTGCCCCAAATCACTTACTGCGGGTAGAGGTGGCCTAATTTTTTCAGTGCATAGCACTTTTGTCTAAATATGCAGTTTATGAAACAGCACCACTGAAGTACTCCAGTCAGTTCTGGCAACAAGTAAAGATCAGGGAATGAGGGCAAGAAAGGGAATTAAAAAAAAAAAGCAAAACATTGAAATATTTTATTCTGACAGCTTGGAAATGAACTTTCTGGCTTTTCAAGACAGCTTTTTTGTCAGAAAAGGAAATGTTAAGAAAGATTCAGTATTAGATAACTGAAAGCTAAACACAACTAAGAAAGCCCTTTTCAGTGAAAGGAAACATTTCAAGTCAATCAAAATGGAAGTATAGTTTTCATTTCATTAATTTTTTTCAAAAGAATGTTGGTACTTTGTAATTCAAGGTTGTTTTTTTTTCAGTTTAGGTATGAAAATGAAAGTTGACCATGCACTCAATGTTAAGTTTGAAAATCTACAGGAAAAGTATCTGTTACATTTGTGAAGAAGGTTTTTTTTTCCTCTCCCCTTGAAAAATTCATATGTGCTTGACACTTATAAGTATATATTGCATCTTTGAGAGAGCTGAGAATGTCACTAGACATACGAGTGAATGCTATAACACTGGTTTTAATAGCTAGTCTTTTGACTTCCATCAGTTGTTGCTCTTATTATGACAAAGCTTAAGCAGACCCACCCAAAAGCAAGCTCTTTGAGGACTGTCAGAGGATGTGTTTCTTTTTTAAAGTGCTAAATGAGGGCCTCTGTACACAGATGAGCCACTATGCATCAGACTTGCAGCCAATGCCAGCTCCCAGTGGGTGGAGAGAGTTAGGGAAGCTGAAATGGAGCTAGCCAGAGAACCCTGCCAGTGCAGCACTTAAAGCAGTCTCACTGGAGCTGCCACAGAACAGCAGAGTGGGCATCACCCCAGGTGCTGGATGTGCAGTGGGCTCCATTCCTGGCCTTGTCTCTCAGTCCCCTCTGCCCTCAGTCAAGATGGAAAGAAGAAAAGAGAATTTTGCCCTTTTCTTTGAGGAAATATGTACTGTATGCAGCCTGTGATCTACTCCAGGACCAGGGCTCCTTCTGGTATCTTGAAGAAATTTAACTAGAAGCAATGACTTGAAAATCCAGAATGTTATAGAAAGTGACAACTGATGGCTGGAAAGCCCTGAGGCAGGGTAAATAGTGCCTGTGGGGAGGCCTTGCTGGCAGAAATGTTGCTACTTATGGTTTTGTGTTAAAGACTGTCTCATTTTTCAAGGGGGGGAAATGAAAGAAAAGAATAAAGCCATGTTTTGGCTGTTATTGTTCTGACCTAATGTGATGGTAAAAGACATTGCAGTGCTGACAGCAGTATACGAACTTCTGTGACATAGAATAGGACCTAAAATAGGGTCAATACAAACATGTGGAGCTTTTTCAGCTGATGTATACATGAAGAGAAACAGTACAAATAAAATTTTGTTAAAGCTTTCAACTTCATAAACTTTAAATGGTTACAGGTGGAACACTTCCAAAAAAAAAAAATCCCTGCAAAAGTAATTTACTTGAACCTTCTATGTTTATTGCTGGTCTAGTGAACTTAGAGATTAATTAAATTGATTTGATAAAGTAATTTGGTTTCTCAAAGTTAATTGTGTCTATTTCTGTGTGAAAGCCACTAGCAAATCAGGAACTGACAAGCCTTCTCTCTACGGCAGGTGCTGAAACTAACCTGAACTTGAGGAGCAGAGAAGATCCAAATGCATCAGATACTGGGTCAGCAACGCAGGATAAAAATGCAAATAACCATGGAACTCAGTCTTCTAATCCACTGTCCAGTTCTGTGACTGCTGAAAATGGAAATTCGGTATCAAATGGTAAGCATTATTTAATCCCAAATCTCTTCTAACATAAAATTGCTGAAGTGTGCCTTTCAGTGAGCTTTTAAAGATACAGTCAAGCTGAAATCTCTTGAGTTGTGAAATATCTCTGTTTCTGGAAGTGGCTTAACTTTGTGTGTATGAACTGATAAGCTCATCTGCAATAAAAGCTGAATGTGAAAAAAATGAAACAGCCTCTGTTGAGGAAGTTGTAATTACCTCAGCTGCAAGTCTGTAAATAGCCTAAGGAGAACTGAGATTTGCGGCTTCTGATTCTATAATCAAGAAAAATGGAAGAGACAATGGAAAATCAGGATCTCCCATTGGTACAAGTGCCTTGCTAGTGAATGACAAATTGTATGTAATTGCAGCAAGATGATCAAAATAGTGCAAGAAGAGTAACCAAATTAAATCTTTCAAGGTCCTATAAGCATAAACCTAAAGTTATAACACCTGTATTATGAAAATCAGATAATGTGATTACACAACTATGAATATAAAATGAGACAAAAAGAAAGTATTCACAGAATTGCAAGGTTGGAAATGACCTGCAAGATTGTTTATTCCAACCATCTTCCCATTACCACTGCTACCACAAGCACTAAACCATATCTTGTAGCTCCTTATCCAGACGTCTCTTGAACACTGCCAGGGACGGCGACTCCACCACCTCCCTGGGCAGCCATTCCAGTGCCTGACCACTCTGAGAGAAAAAGTTCTTCCTTCTGTCTAACCTAAACCTCCTCTGGTACAACTTGTGGCCATTTCCTCGGGTCCTGTTAGTTGCCTGGGCCAAACCCCTCCTCATCCCAACCTCCCTTCAGGAAGTTGCAGAGTGCAGTGAGGTCTCCCCTGAGCCTCCTCTTCTCCAGACTGAACAATCCCAGCTCCCTCAGCCACATTTATTTTGATGGGATGTGGAGGAGCAAATGTCTAAATATATGTGTGATACTGCATATGGCTATCTTCCTACCAAAAACTTAAATCTGAATATTGTTTACCTAAGTAGAGCAGTTGTATTGCCTTTAATGCTTAGGGTGGAGGTGCACATAATGTAGAATATAGTTGGTAACTTGCAAACAACACTGGAAAATTTGAAGGAATAAAGTATCAAGTGTAATACTACATTTTGTTTTCCAAATATACTATCCTTAAAAAAAAATAAATCCAAAGCTAGAGCTATTTAATATGCATAGGTTTGAACTGAAAAATCAAGTTTATCAGGAATATTTCATGTTCCAGATACACTTTACTTAAAAAATCCTCTGGTTTTGAAATGAAAAAAATCAAGCTTTATTACTTGAAATGAAGCATTTCAAAATTAAATAATTCTTTTTTTTTTCCAGGGAAATTCATTCTGCAGTTGTAGGCCAAAATAATTCTTCCTGCTCTTTCTGATAATCAAAGCAGAAAATTCATCCAGTTTGAGAAGTCATAGGAGTGTAGAGGTGCATTCATTCCTGTGTGGAACTGGGAACACACTGTAGTAGAAGAAAAAGGCATCTTTGTCCATTATAACTGTGTCCCCATTTGTATCAATACAACAATTTAGGGAGGAGGGAGTGAGTTTTCCAAATGTGTAACAGTCAGACTGTTATGTTAACACAAAATCTGTGGGTAGACCAAGACTTTGATTCCTTTCTATGTAGGATTTTAATCATATATTCTGATGTCCTAATGGGGCCTGCGGGAGATCAGTTTTTTATAAGAGCAATCATTTTATCCCCAGATCCCTTAACTGGGAGTTTAATCACAAGAGCTGCATTTTTTTCAGCTTAGAAATGAAGTGATGCTTTATGTTTCTAATTTGTGATGATTATAGTTAAGTTAGCAAATGATTGCAGTTTCTGAAATAAATGGTCATTGCTTGAATAGAAGGCCAACTGGTAGGTGAGATGAGTGCTTTCAATTGTGTGAAGTTTTTTATTAGTGTGTTTGCAACTACTAGTTGCCAGGGCTATTCATATCGGTAACACACTGAATCTATTATGCATAAACAAATTATTTTTAAACCATTTGTAAATGGAAAGTTTAATCATAAAGGTGTAATGTGCAATGGAATTTTCCAGTATTTTTTTCCATTAGAAAACATCACTGCATCAAACTCAAACTTTCAATGGAAGGTTGCTGATTTTGATGCAGCTTTCGTAAGGAATGGTTTTGGTTTCTGCAATGAGCAGAAAAAAAGTCCTTTTAGGTCTCTCAGTATCCCACTTGGCAAGGGATTAACATTATTTGTGGTATTTTAAGGTTCAAATCTACATCTTGCCTATCAGGCTGTTGTAGAAATGTTATAAGCTTTAGTTTTACCCTGACACAAAAGACCAAAATAAAAAAATAAAATATGTGGTATGGAATGCCAGTGTTCCAGATAGCATTAATAATAATAGAAAGCACTAACAAAATGAAATTTTCAGTGTACTTAGATTACATGAATTGTAAAACACCTTTCTTAAAAGTAAAAATCCTTGCAGGATTCAACTTCAACATCTTGATTTTGAAATCTCTAGGCATTACTGATATACCTACCTATTGTAAGGTACCTGCTTCAGTAGGGGGATTGGACTCAGTGATCTCTTGAAGTCCCTTCAACTCCTGTGATTCTGTGATTCTATGATTCTTTGATTTTTGAATGTTCCATGAGATATTTTCATGTGAAATACTTCAATTTTTTATTCCTGTACACAAGATTCCTCTAACTTTGCAGAGAGCAAAACTTGAAATGTGTTATTAGTTAGTTGATGCCAAAATTACAAAACTTGTGAGCATAAAATAATTTGCTTCCCATTGCTACTCAGTGGAACTCTATAACCTATTTTTCACTGTTAGTATGAAGACCTTTGTGCAACATCACATGAGTTAATACAGACAAGTGTCACCACCATTTCCTCTGAAGTATCACGAAACTTGAAGTCACTAAGGTCATAAGAATAGTCACTTTGACCAAGATGTTAATCTTATGTCTAAGCCAGTGATTCTTTAGAAAACCATTTCTAAGTGACTAAAAGACTGGCTAGCTCAGCTTCCAAACAGATTAATGCTGTGTTGCTCTGAGAAGCTGAGTTTAATTTCTGGGACTGCTGTTAGCCTGCAATTTTAGTAAATTTGTTTTTCATTTTGTATATTGTAATCCACTTCTTTTTGTCTATAATATTATTAGCACAATTATCTACAATTCTGTACTGTGACCATGTGGTTTGTCTTCTACAAACCCGCCACATCTACCAGATTTTTATTCTAAAAGAAACATTTTTTTTTAAACTATTTTCTTTTCCAAATGCAAACAGTCATCAGAAAGCCTGTAATAATCTTTTATATTACAGTGCTGAAATCTGTGATCCTAAATCACTCAGAACATCAAAGTAAGTGGGAAAAACTCAGACACAGCAGATAAAAATGTTGTGAAATGCAGATGTTTATTTCCACCTTGTATTTAATGGGATATAGAGGAGTGTTTAATTATTAAAGTGAAATGATTAAATTTGACAACTAATAATGAAATTGAGGTGATTGAACCTTTGGTTAGTGAAAAGAAGAAAATCCCTGGGTATATGACAGTTTTTTACCCCCAGCGGACTGCTGTAGAGGTACTTACCACTGTGATCCAACTGAAATCTAGAATTGATTCTACATAGATGACGCTGCCCATTTGGACCACGGGAGACTGAATGTGCTGCATAATGCCCAGTAGGCACACAGGCACACACTTTGCCCTGTGCCAACTATCCAGCACCATTAGCACCCTGCTATCTCTCCAAGGAACCTTTGCTGTTTGTTCCTCTGCTCTTCAGCTACATCTGAGGCCCATTGTTTGTTGTGTGGAGATACATGTGAATGGACTCACTGTATAGTTCATTTTGATCAGCTGTCAAGAACCTGACTGTTTTATTAAGAGCCCTACATATTATTCTGCTGAGGGGATGAATCTTGCCTAACTTTAGCTGCCAAGAAGGTGGCTGTCTTCTCTAAGCAACTCATCTGTGGGCTGCAGGCTGCTGCATGATATATAGGAACTTACCACTTGATCCAAGCACAGTAGGCAATGAGTTCCCATCAGTCTAGGAAATCACAGAATGAGAGAGGTGTCACAGCAAACAACCTTGCAGAATGTCCCTGTGACACAAACATAAGCATTTACTGTGGATGTCTTGAGAATAGTTTAAAGAAAGCCCACACCTGATGACAGAATTCATGCTCCAGCCTGTACTTCTCATTAACCTGCATTCTTGTAGTTCTGCCCCTGCTAAATTGGTGTTTCCAACCTTGTGCTGAATTAAGCAAGGTCTTATTCAGTGCACAACTGTGGTATCCAAATATTTACTTAGTGCACGTAAAGGAAAACTTTTAGAGTGCAATCAACTACTCCATTTATCTTTCCAAACTCCACTAAGCTTCTGCTTGGACTGTGTTGACATGCTGTTGCTGTACATGGAAACTTTATTTGTTTGATAAGACTGCTTATCAAAGTGCTTTTCATAGAAAATCACTGATATTCTTAGCCCAAGGCTATTGTGCACCATAGATCTTTAAGTGTATGAATATAATTCAAAAGCAGTATCTTTTTCAAAAACATGCTACTGGTCTAGGAAAATTTTTTGTTCTTTTACAAATGCCTATAATTTGCAAATAATTTACAATATATTTTTTATTCAAGTTAAATTAGAACACATAACATAAAAAGGCATTCTGCATAAAAATGTGGTTAATTTTTTATTATTGTAAAAAAAATATTGTGTTGACAGAAACATTTTTAGAGGGAAATCTCAAATTAAAAAAGAAAAACACATTTATTTCAAGCATTTCATTTTACAAAAAAAAAAAGTGATTTTGCTCAGAGCAAAAATTATGTTGTAGAGCAGGGTTTGTTTACTGACTTTAGTAAGTGTAAGAAAGGAATAGTGACAACGTGTATTTGACAGACCTAGTATACTGAAGAATGTGAATGTCAGACTTTCCAGTATATACATAATACATTACAGACCAGCTTCAAAAAGAACGAACCCCACCTTGAAACAAAACGTTGTTCAAAGCATTGAGAGAACATGCTCAGATGCCCTCTCTGCTTTGGGTAGATCCGAAGGGCTGGATCCTCACAAGGTTTGTTTTATCTCCACAGCTGCAGCCAGGGCTTTGGCCATTTCACTGCCTGTATGTGTCTAAAGAAAGTCCAGGTGGTTTGAAGCTGTAGAAATTTAGGAATAGTTTGCACAAACTCCATTCAGAAGAACAATACAAAAAAAAGCCAAAACCAGCTGTCCTTAGCTACAAAGCTATGGATATCCAACAGTATAAGGGGGAAACTAAGACTGAGAAAGGAATATGGATCATTCATTCTCTTTAAAACTCTTGTTCTGTTTCTCTCACAAAATCTGCTAATTTTATGAAATAATTCATACAGCTTTTATTTGCATGAGTTAAATCATACATCACTAACCATATAAGAATTAATACTCATTTATCAATATAAAAAATAAGCATTTTTTTATATAGAAAATAGAGGCTTGGAAGAGGTTTCATTATAATTTCTATGCTAGTCTCATGACTGAAACAAGAAACTGAACAGATACATGAAACTGAACTATGAGTAGTACAGTACATAATCTCATAACTAGTTTACAATTCATTGCATTTGAACTTTTGAATTATTTCCATTACAATTCAGTGTATGTTGTGTACAGTATACAAAGAGTGGGGTTCACCTCATTTTCATTTATCTCATAGTTAGCTGTCTAGGCACAGATTCACCTTCTCTAGTTTTAGCCACCCAAAAGGTAAGTACCTAGTCGAGGCCGACAGTTGATAGAGTCACACAACATTTTGGGTTGGAAAGGACCTTTACAAGTCATCTACTCCCACCCAAATTCAGATTAGATGTTGTCGTTCCAGTTGGTAATCCGCTGAGGACAATTCAACTTTCATTATCCCCTGACAGGATTAATCCTTTTCTCCTGATGGCCAACTCTGGTGAAAGAAGGAGTAGTGATACGCAGGTTAATAATAAAATTGTCAGGTGCCAGACATACTGTGGCGTCTGTGAGTTTGTGAGGAGCTTAATAACTCCTATAGTGGGCTCACTATATTTCTGCTTCCGCCTTTGTTTCCCTTGATCTCGTCTTCCAGATCCACCAATCTGCTGTAGGAGTGGTCTTCCCACTCCAGCAGAAGTGATGGGAAATGCTGGCTATGAGCCTCGCTCTGTGGTCACTGCACAGAGTTGCTCATTTATTTTGACGCCGGAGGCTGTGCCTGGCTCTTTCACACTGGTTTTTACACTTCAGAATTTTGGACAGCTATTTCCCGCATGGAGAGTGCACAATAAATACAACAGTTACATAAAAAAGCCCTACGGTACTGCGGAGATGAAGTTGTAAAACCTGGAGCTATTGACTTCCCATGTGACTAGAGACATCAGTGTGAGAACAGACCTGAGGTGTTACATTCCATTTGCGTTGCTTCTGTGATGAAAAGAAGCCAGGGGAAGAGGAACCAGGGATTTCTGCATTGCAGGAGGAATCCCTGGCCAGTGTCATGTAGGTAGTATGCTATTTGTAGGCTCTTTCTGTGCCATTTGTATAAATCAACATACATACTTATGATTGTGTTTATACTTGATAAACAATAACCTTTCCAGCTTTCGTAACACTGAAGTAAATACCCAGGCAAATGTGTGACATTTAGCATCCCTTTGTAGAAAAATATGTCAGAGTCTTTTGAATCTTGAACTGAAATCAACCAATTCATAAATGTCAGGTTAGAAAATAAATTATTATTGTCTTTTTTAGGTGTACCAGAGGAAAATGAGTATTCAAGACTGTCTGCCAGCACTACAGCAGGTTCATCGGTTCAAAGACATAGGGAGAGCCACACTACTCAGGTAAAAAAATCATTGATAATCTAATGGAAAGAGAGTAATTTTTACTCCATAAGAGAGTAAAAATTCACAGTACCTGCATGTTAAAAGCTTTCTTGACTCAAATCTGTTTGTTGGATATTGAAAAATGCTTCTCTTACAGGTTTATATTGAGCTAAGGACAAAAAGTAGAATCAAAATACCACCATCAATTAAATTAATCTGCAAATTTAAATACTTTATATTAGAAGAAAGTTTAAACCATGTTCAAACTTCTATATTTGATCCTTCCAACACTACTTGCCAAAAGCTGAACACAATTTCAGTTCAGTACATCAAAATGTCACTTTTCAGTAAATAGACAGTTGGCAAAGTGTCTCACAAATCTTCAAAACATGTTCCTTGCCATGTACTCAGAATTACATGCAGGGACGATCCTTAAATGCAACCTTAATAAGAACTGTGACAAGTTCAGAGAAGGAACAATGCAGTCCAGTGATTTTTGATGCAACTGCCATAATGAATAAACATCTTCAAAAATGGTATTACAAAAAGAAAATGAAAAAAAAAAAAAGAAGAAGAAGAAAGAAGAAGAAAAAGAAAAAGGAAACAAAACAAAACACATTAAAAACCATTCTTAAAAAGTCCATTCTCACAGGGTTAAAAATTCTTTCTGTAAGAAGCATTCCTCTCTATTTGGAAAGCCTGCAATGTATTTGAAAATAATTGGTTTTATTTACAGTTGACATTTCCTAGCATACCACCAGTTTCTCTTAACAGTATACAAGCCTATTGTAAAACTGTTTGCCAGACTTTGGTGCAGTAACCTAATCACTTTAAAGTAATTCTTGTATTACATATGACATATGAAATAGGACAGATTGTTTCGCAGATCTTTGAAAGCACTGATTGACTAATTGCTTTAGAGAGAGAAACATAGACTGAGTCCTCGAGTTCTTGGCTGACACTGTCATTTCAGCTAAAGGAAACTGGCTTGTTAACCTTCAGGGACTCCTAATATTTAAGTATTTGTTTAATATCTCTCTGCTCATTCCTCACCGAAGTGACAGGAGTTAATTTCATTTTTGTCACAGCTCATAGACATCCAATGGAAGTCTAGGTACTGTGGCTTACAGTACCATCATGTTGTCACATCAGGTGATAACTACCTGTATCACTGCTTGAAACTTTCTGCACTATGCAAACCTGCAAAACTACATCTTTTAGAGAACAGGTTCTTCAGCTTAGCATCCATTGACAATCTCAACAAACGTTTTGGAAGCTATTACCAGTATAGAATATTAGGCACATAAAAACAGCTTAATTGATCATTCTCTTCTTGCATCAGAAACAGTGTTGCCAGCAGGAACAGGGAAGTGATAGTCCTCCTGCACTGAGCTCTGGTGAGGCCGCACCTCAGTACTGTGTCCAATTTTGGGCCCCTCTTTCTTTGGACAAGAAAGACATTGAGGCCCTGGAGCGTGTTCAAAGAAGGACGACAAAGCTGGTGAGGGCTCTGGAGCACAGACCTTTTGAGGAGCGACTGAAGGAGCTGGGATTGTTCAGTCTAGAGAAGAGGAGGCTCAGGGGAGACCTTATTGCTCTCTATAACTACCTGAAGGGAGGCTGGGGGTTAGCCTCTTCTCTAGTGATAGAACTAGAGGGAATGGCTTCAAGCTGCACCAGGGGAGATTTAGGCTGGACGTTAGCAAATACTACTCTGAAAGAGTGGTCAGGCACTGGAATGCCCAGTGCCCAGGGAGGTGGTAGAGTTACCAACCCTGGGGGTGTTCAAGAAACATTTGATGTGTTGAGGGACATGGTTTAGTGAGAACTATTAGTGATAGGTGGATGGTTGGACTGGGTGATCCTGTGGGTCTTTCCCACCTTGGTCATTCTGTGATTCTATGATTCTAAAATAGAATCTGCTGGAAAAAAGCAAGTTCAATATTGGCCACAAATGCTACTTTTTTAGAGTCATTATAACTTCAAGGTCAGCTTTTGTCAGGATGAAAAAAAGACAAAAATTGATATAAGGTTTAAAAATTTTAACAACATATTTCTTATTTTAAAATTATGCAATAAAATCATACTTTTTTCTGCTAGAAAAGAAAAAAGGGAAGAAAATTAAAAATAAACCTTGAATTTTGTCTAATTAGAAACGAATGGTCTTACATTTTACAAGAATAGCAAAGTATGATTTTTTTAACTAATAACTTTCTCTTCATATTGTACTGTGGCTGCACATTGTAAGATTGCAAGCAAACACTACATAGAACATAAAGAACTTCATATGTATCAGCAAAACTGAAATATTGAAAATTGGACCTTGTTTCATGTATTTTACTTTGTTCAGATAATTGGTCCTTAAGAAACTATTTGTTAGCAAAGAAATACACGTATTCTTTCAACAAGAGAGGATGCTAAGCTCCATGTGTTTTATGTTGTCTTTGTGAATCAAAAGTTTCAAAACACAGACTGGAAATCTACAGCAAAACAACATTGCAAGAAGCAATATCCAGATCTGCCCTTATAAAAAAGCCTACTTTGCTCTTAGTATCTAAGCCTAAATTCATCAGCTGCAAGTGTACTCAGCTTCTGCAGAATACCATCTGGTAGTTCTGCTGCTCCTCTTGCTCCATGAACAGCAGAAAACTAGGAAACTGCCCCATTCAAGCTTGTTTTAAAATTACTAATTTTAAATTACTGAAATGCTGATTCTTTAACATTTCTTCAGTGATTTGTTTGGCATTTTCAAACATGCCTGAATCTCTACTCTTAAATTCTTTCCCATCATTTTCTTCCAGAGTCAAAGAAACCACCAAAGTGGAAGGTATGCTTTTTCTGGTCATTTGTGCCATAATCTTGACAGAATCAGAGAATCGTTTGAGCTGGAGGGGACCATTAGAGGCCATCTAGTCCAATCTCCTGCAGTGAACAGGGACACCTACAGCTTGATAAGGTTGCTCAGTGCACCATCCAACCTTATCTTGAATATCTCCAGGCATCCAGCTCCTCTGGACAACCCATGCCAATGCCTTACTGCCCTTTCTGTAAAAAACTTATTCTTATATCCAGTTTAAACCTCCCCTCTTTAAGTTTGAAACCATTTCTCCTTGTCCTTTCACAACAGATTCTTCTTAAGAGTTTGTCTCCTTCCTTCGTACAGCCCACCTTTAGGTATTGAAAGGCCACTCTCAGGTCTCCCTTCTCTTCCCCAGGCTGAAGAGCCCCAGTTCTCTCAGCCTGCCTTCACAGGAGAGGGGTTCCAACCCTTGGATCATTTTTGTGGCCCTTCGCTGGATGTGCTCCAACAGGTCCACATTTCTCCTGTATTTCTCCTGTATCAGGACTCCACATTTGGACACAGTAATCCTGATGAGGCGTCAGCAATGCAGAGCAGAGGGGCAGGATCACCTGCCTCACTCTGCTGACCACACTTCTTTTGATGCAGCCCAGAATATGGTTAGCTTTCTGTGCTGTTTGGGCACATTGCTGGTTCACGTCCAGCTTCCCATCTGTCAGTGTTCTGAAGTCCCTTTCAGCAGGGCTGTGCTCTATCCTTACATCTCCCAGCTTGAAGGAATGGAGCCACAACCGAGGCTCAAGACTTTGCAAGATCTTGCCTAAATAGAAGATTTTGTTATGACTAAGAGTCATTTCTATTTAGTCAGGCTCCAAGAAGTGATCCAAAGCATACTGGAGACTTTTGGAGTTGAAATCATTTAGCAGAATCTAAAACTTCATCTAAAACAAACAAAAAAAGCTTTATAAAATATCTCCTCAGTGCTCTGCATATTTTACGTCAGTAATTTCCCAGTTCCTTAGCCAGTCCAATGGACTCTCCCCTCTTGATAATGTTTATTGTTTCTTCTCTTCAATAGTTCCTATAAGCTATGTTTTAAAGATGTAAGAATAAAGGCTGTTGAGATATGTAAATTGTTTGGCATGTCAGAAACAGCAGCAGGACAAAACAAAGACAACAAAGGCAAGGCCTTAACTTTGGGACCTTGTACAAAAGCAAAGCAGCCTTGTCTTCTTTTTTACAGATTCAGAACTGTATTTTTTTTATTTTTGATAAAAATATTATAAAGTTGTTATTAACATTCACTATGAAGTGGGATGTGGTGTGAGAAAGACACAGTGAAATGAAGAAAAGCAGACCAGCTAAAGACTCCTTCTTTCTTATGTGGGCAGCAAGAAACAACATGGTCTGTCTGTAAAAGGATAAGATGGACAACATGGAGATAAAGAACAGATGGGAATGAGGTGCATATGAAAGACTGGAGCAATAATAAGCATGTGTGTAGGGCGGGAGTGGTGAGAAAAGCAGGCAGTAGATAAGGGATGATTCAGAGAAGGAAGACTGGAGGAAGTATAAAGTGACTGAGAATAAAAAGTAATATTAGGGAACAGGGGATTTACAAAGAGGAAAGAAGGAAGAGTCAGGGGGAAGAAAAAAGAACTGAAAGGAAGGTGAAGAAAAGAAGTGAGAAATAAATAGGTGCACACTACAGGTTGGTGGTGGGAAAAGAGAGAGGCACTAATGCTTTAATAAAATGGAAAGTCATATTTGATGTTCATTTGTCTTCATACTCATATCAGTGTGATATTTATGTTTCTTGAAATAAAAAGTAATTGTAGTAATCCACCTTCATTTATAGGATGGCTTACTACATAAGTTAGTTCACAGCATAGTGTCCTAAAGATCCAGCCAACAGAGGAAAAATATAGGAAAATTCTTATTAAAAGATGCGAAGTCTCTTTATGCAGCTTAGTTTCTCATGATGGAAAGTTGACTCATTTGAAATCAGGTTGCACATGCATTCAGGCATCCTATGGAAGTACTTCGAGAACAAGATATAAATAAGCAAGCAGCTGCCTTTCTAGTAGTGGTTGTCCCCTTCTGAAACATGTTTTATCTGTCACATACTCAAAAGGTAGGAGGTAAGATAAAAAATGATGATTTTCTTCACTTACTTCTATATTAAAAATCTGCAGTCTTATCTCTTCTATTTTGTTTA